TTTGCTTTAGTAGGTTAATTTCCAGTCACTTGAGGAGCTGGTTGTGACTCAGATGTGGTGAGGGAATGAGGAGGTGGAATGTGCTGGGTAAATGTTAATTGGAGAAGGGCTCCTACTGTGCTCGGTTGAGTTAAGGAGAAAAGGAAGGGTTTCCAGTTCTTTGATTTCATATTTCAGGGGTGGAATCTGTAAACAGCAAAGGGATGGGGAAATGTACCTTCTGAACAGACACAGATGACTGATTTGCCTCCTAGCACTTGGGGAGGAAAATTTTAGATATTTCATTAATTTGGAAAAAGGCTGGGGAGTAGTAGAAGTGAGGAGTAATAAATATGGCATTGGAGCAGTGTTGGCTGGAATTGGGGGACGTGCAAGTGGCAGGTAAGGTGTTATTTCCCTGGCTAACTGCATTTAAATAACTGCCTTTTATATGAATTTTTAACTGCAGTTATGGGTTTTTTTCCTGTAGTATTTGTTCTCTAAATTCTACGTTACTCTGGTTTCTACTAGTCACTTGAATTAAATACTTTGAAAACTCTTATTTTACTATGAAAAGCTGTTTTTGTCACATAAGGCTCTGTTTCCTTTTAATTCTCTTTTTCAGATTTAGAAGCCTTTATGGCTTTCTAAAATTGTCATGAAGAAGAATGTGGTTGCCAGTTGCTAGCCTAGAAATTATTTTAAACTCTGAGTGCATGTTCAGAGTCAGCTTTTGCAGAGTAAGTAACTTCTAAAAAGTAGTTGCTAAGGTGACATAACGGCTCCTGTAAGCTTTAGTTAATTTTAAAAATCTTTATGCACAATACTGAATGTTTTCCTCCTGATAGGAGAATAATGAAAAAAAGAATTATTTTGGCAAATCAAAAGTTAGGAGCCCATCCATAAAATAAAAGTAAGTTGAGAAGAAGCCCGTGTACGCTTAATGAATATTAGTGCTTTATTTCAGGGTCTGAGTCACAGATCAGTGAGCCTGCTTGGGCTGTGTCTTTTATTACACACTGACAGATCTTGTAGTTTTATGCAAGTCTGTTTAGAATCTCATCCCTGTGTTCTGTGCTTTCAAAAGACTCTGAGAATTTGTGAAGTTAAAATATGGGAAAGGATCCTTCATTACCTCTAATTTATTAAAGTGTCAGCAGCAGCAGTACAGAAGTGAAGCATCCAGAATTAAATTGAACTGTATTTTTTTTTAAACTCTGCTTAAAAAAAGAATATGAACGGCACTCTTTTAATGTTTGCTAGAAAAACCAAGAGCCAACACTGAACTTTGTCAGTTGGAGGGAGAGAAACACACCGAGCTTTCACATGGTGCTTAATTGGAATTTCCCGAAGCAAAAACCTGATTTAGTGGAATAAATTCATTAGAGCATCCTGTTTAAGAAAGCTAGCATATATGTTAAACCTCTTCAGTTTTCATTTGTCTAAGCCAAGGATTTAATATCTGCTTTTCAAAGACATGAGCTGTTTTTGGCCCGGGTTTTAGAGCCATTGCTTCGGGGGAGTGCAATTATTGCAGTAGTTTGGTGGCAATCAGTCTGAGAACTGAAGCAAACGTCACCTGTGTACCTTGGGCACTGAATTCATGAATACCTTGGGGGCCCTCAGGTGAAGGAAAAAGTGAATAAGAAAAGAAAAATAAAAATAGTTTAGCCACGTATCAGTGGGAAGTAGAAAACACTGAAGGGAGTGCATGTGCTGCTTGTAGGAGTAAACAGCTCATGGCTTAAATCAAGTTAGGATTGAAGTGGTTGGTGATTTACTGATGGCTTGTAATTAACTGTAAACCCATGAACTATCCATGCAGGATTAATAACAGCAGTATCACAGATTAATGACTGCTGCACCCTTACAAAACCTTCAGATACCTGAACACCCTCCTACAGCAGCTCCCACCCTGAGTTTGCGGGTCTGTGCTCCCCTGTGCTCCCAGCCTGTGCCAGGAGTGCAGGGGAGAATTCCCCCTCAGGCCTCAGCAGAGCTTGGGGGTGCCAGGGAGCACCTTCCTGATGTCACACCAGGTTTTCACTGCTCTCTTCTCACTGTTAGAAATGTTAGTGCTTTTTACACTTGATTTTTAAGCTGATTCTGCTTTCCCACCTGAGGTCTCTTGGTAACTGCCTGGTTACTGTTTCAGGTGTTCATTTGCAGACAATCTTACCAGATTTTGAGCAAACACCCTCTTGGTTTGGGGGGTTCTGTTCACATACATTTCACTCTTGTTCCTGTCGTGGCAGCTGATGGCCAGGATTTTTCACCGAGGTGTAATCCATGTGGATTTCCCCCACGATCTGGAGCTGTTCCTTGGGGGCACAAGGTACACTGATGAAGGAAGAGACAAAGTCCTCCTTGGAAAAAATGTTCCTGTTTGGAGCTTTATTTTGGAGCAGTGAATGGGGAATAGTGGGCAATTTTGTTTGGCCTCGAAGTGTTTGTGACAGGCTGGAGCTGGATACATTTCAGCTGGATATTTTGGCAGCCTTCCAGTACCTAAAGGGGCTGCAAGAGAAATTGTTGATGTTCCATTCCTGGAAGTGTCCAAGGCCAGGTTGGACGGGGCTTGGAGCAACCTGATCTAGTGGAAGGTGTCCCTGCCCATGGCAAGGGGTTGGAACGAGATGAGCTTTAACATCCCTCTCAATCCAAACCATTCTATGATCCTATATATAAAATAATTTCCTTTTAGCCAAATCAACAGCCTAAAAAAAGTGACTATTTAGTACATGCATTAATTGAAATGGTCTGAATCTCTAACCTTAAATTGTTTACTTCTAAGGTAAAGCACCCTAATATTAAAATATTACTTATTCCATGGAAATACTGTACAAAACGAACAATTTACTGAGGGAATCTGCTAGTAACAGGTTTAATAATTAG